GTTGAATGCAAATACTCGTGTCACATCTATAACATGAATTCAGATGAACTGGGTCCACCATAAATAGCCCAACCAATCTCGTAATAATTCAAGATACTTGTCGCTAACCCGTACATTCCACGTCGTATTAAGTGATGGATATATATCATAAATAATTAATGTCATATTATATGATTGATTCGTAAATAAGTAAACCTTAGTTTAGAAAAGAGATGCTGACTCCCTTTGGATTACTCCCTCCATCTTAAAAATATTAGACTTAATTCATTTTTTTCAGACATATTTGTATTTGTATTTGTATTTGTAGTTATCTGCTGGAGATTACGGTAGGTGTTTATGTTTGGGCAGCCTGCTGTGGCTATTGTGCCAGAAGAAAGATGCCTTGATGATGCCAGCACCGCTAATCCTGATGAATTGCTGGCTTAGGGTTTCATTTTGCTTTACACGACGGCTAACTGATGTTCAACTGGCATTAAAAATTATGCAAATGAATCATCTTCCGAGATTTTGTCTTTCACGCAGCAATGTACCTTCGAAAACAACCCTCCATCTTTTTAATGGCGAAGAGATCTTATAGAATCAAAACTAGCGGCATGGAATAATTTATTACCGCGCATCACTGGTTTTTATTTAATTCAGGAGCAAGATGAGTTTCATTGGAACTTAACCTCAAATGGGGATTTCTCGGTGAAGTCTCATTATCTAGCTCTAATTCACAGCAACGTTCCCAACATTAATAACCGTCTTTAGAAATTAAAGATACCCCTAAAAGTTAAATTTTTCTTTGGTACTTGCGCCGTGGAGTGGTGTTAACGAAGAACAATTTGATAAAAAGGAAATGACAAGCAATAAGAACTGTTGTTTTTGTTGCAATGACGAGACAATTAGACATCTTTTCTTCGAATGCCGTTTTGCCCTTTCTGTTTGGTCCATCATCCAAGCAGCATCTGGACTTCCTCCACCACATTGTGTAGCGCATATGTTTGGGAGCTGGCTTGATGGAATTCATAATAATTTGAAATCACATGTTCTGTTAAGAGCAGCTGCTACTTGTTGGTCGCTTTGGCTATGCAGGAATAATGTGGTTTTTGATAAAAAAAGTCATATCTTCACCTTTGCAGGTTATATATTCTCTTATCCATTGGCTTCGTACATGGGCTATCCTACAGAAGCCTGGTTCGCGGAAATGGTAGTTGCGGCATGTCAACATTTGGAGAAGGTGGTCAAGGAGTTTTTTACCTAAGGATATGGGTGGCGATCTAGTCTTAGAATTGACGTTCCTTAAAACTCTGTGCTTTTGGAGCAGATGGCCAAGGAGTTGTTCATGAGTGGAAATTTAGTCGTTAGATTGATGGTCCTCAATACTCCATGTCATTCTTTTTTCCTTTCGAGTATGGTTTTGTTTGTTCGGCTGTGTGTATCTTAGTTATGCAGAGGCCGTAAGTGTTCTCAGGATAATTGTATCACCTTGATGTAATTGACTGAGTTCAATAAAAGCTTCCATTATCAAAAAAAAAAATCAGCCAAGGATGTTGAAGAACAGAACAAACTGTATTTTCTGGTGAAAAAAATAAACTATTTCGTTCTATCCACTCAGCATAGGAAAACTCCAAGCTCTACGGCATCTTCTGCATGATCATTTGCAGTAGAATAGTCGTGTGTTCAAGGTGATATTTATAGTCCTAACAAAAAAGAAAAAAAATGATTGAACAGTCGTCTAATTATTGTTTTCCTGTGATATTACATCTGTTTTTTTAACATGTAACATTTTAAATTATGTTTGATCACTTGTCTTATTAAAAAAGTCAGTAAATAACCCTTCTTTTGTTGTGGCTTGATTTATCACCAAATAAACTTAAGCAGTACCTATATATTTTTAAGGTTTTGAATAAGACGAATAGTCAAGATTGTAATAAAAATCAACGACGTCGCATAAAAAAAAATAGAGGGAGTAACTGCTTTCAATTAGGCTTATGCAGGCCTTTCATCTTCTATCTATCTATCTATCTATTATATACTAAAAGTCCATTAAACTTCCTACAAATACTCCTGAGCCGCCATGTGGAGCTTCTATAAACACTCCCAAACCGCCATGTGGCACTGTTTAATCTCACCATTGATTTTTACTTAAACTGGTGGACCCATTAATTTAAACCATTAGATCATATCTATGTGTATAGTTGATTTTCATTTAAATTGGTGGACCCATTATCTTAGATAATCTGCCACAATAAAAAAACTGAAGAAAAAACAAGTCTCCCGTGTATGTACAACTATTCACCGGAGAAAAACATGTACGTTCTATTACCGGGAAAAAAATTACCGTGTACGTACGTATACTACTTAACAAAAAAACGAATAAGAGCATAATGTACTTACGATTGGGAAGATATATGTTTCCAAGTACATATATGAACCTACTATATAAAAGAAAAGGAGGTATCTGAATTTCTATTAAAAAATATTACGAGTACATCACATATTAGCTATATTTTAATTAAAAAATTATCACATAAAATCATATTTAGCTATTTGTGTCTTACTCATCTAAATAGACTTGATAATTACTCTTTTTGTTTTCTTTAAGGAATACTAAGGCTTTGTTTGATCTAGCTAATTAAGTGACTTTATCAGGACACGAAATGATACATATCATTATCACGTGATTAATTGAGTATTAAATATTACAAAAATAAAAATGATTTATTTGTTTTTAGAAAACTTTAATATAGAAAGTATTTGCAAAGCACACACCATGTAATGCACCATTTATCCTTTTGATGATCATACTCGCTACAAATAAATAAAGGAGTAGCTAATCCTATAAGTACTTTAATTAGAACAAACTCTTCAATTTATAACTTAAATACTAAAAGTTTATTAAACTTCTTATAAACATTCCTAAACAGTCATGTGCCGCGCGCGCTTGTACTAACAATCCCAAACCGCCGTGTGACACTGTTTAATCTCACTGTTAATTTTCACTTAAATTGTTGGACCCGTTATTTTAAACCATTAGATTATATCTATATGTACCATTGCTTTTCATTTAAATAAGTGGACCCATTATGTTAGATCAAGATTAGATATATATATGTAATACTAATACCTTCCATATGTATGTACGAGAGAAAATAGGTTCGTCGGGAAAAACAAAAAACATAAGTACGTAAGATTGGGAAAAAACATTAAACCTTAAATACATTCCGACAGCAAGAACAAAAACATGCCCACGTTCTTACGATAAAAAAAAACCATATGCAAAAGAAAAAGAAAATATCAAGCCAAAAAAATATATGTATGTAGTATAAAAAATCAAAAATAGAACTTTCTACATATATAACATAAAGCCAAAAAAAGACATACGTACGTAGAACCATTAAAAAAATCGAGGATCTCTAAAATAGAATTTATACCATATAAAAATAAAATATATTATTCCACAAACTAGATCTAGGATACAAATATCAAATATCAAATCAACGTTCTATAAATGTTCACATTTTAAAATATTTTCAAATTATATATTTAATGTGTGATACCGTTGTATTCCTTTAGTTAAATATTTTCAAAGTCTGTTATCGTAAATACATCATGACGCATTGGGGCTGACAAATAATAATTAATATCATGATAATTTTTAAAATAATTTCACATCATAATTTAGGGTTTCAAAAATCACTTCAAAATTATACGACGCTAATTCAAATCTACATATGTAAAACAAAAAATAAAAACACCAAAATTTAGTTTCATATTTTCTCAAGTAGACATGATTTAAGAATGTAGATTTAAGGCTAAATTTCACAAAACAACAGATGATCAAAGTACCTATAGTTTTGTGAAATTTACTATAATTTTAATTTGTTCGAGATTAATATTCTCAAAGTTTTTTATGAATATTTCAACACTATTTGGTATTTGAGAACTGAGTATCATACATGGTACGTAGATGTGAAAATAATCATAAAAAATATTTTGAATTAATAATATTGCTATAACATAACCTCTTAATTCATGATGAGATTTATGGTCGTATATGTATATTTTGTTTCCTTTGCCAAATAGTTTTGACAACAAATGAACAATCAAGTAACATGTCAAATGAACTACTCATGTTATATTTTCTTATGGTTAAGGAATTTCAACATTTCAGGCATATTTGATGGATGTATGTCACATACCTCACCGATGCGACTATAAATATTCGCCCACATATTAGTTATTGTTAATAAGTTTAAAAAATAAATATGTTTTTCAACTTAGTAAAGGTGTCTCATGTGATTACCAACAATAGGTGTTGAAATTAAACTAATGGTTAAACTATAGATATTTGTCAAAATATAAATAATAATATGGTGCCCTAGAAATTATCATGGTAGTATGTCTCTTTAGTTATAATTTTTTTAGTACCATCGATTGATAACCTCGCTCATTTTCAAATTAGAGTATCCTATATCTATACCATAACCATTTGAGTATTTATGATTAACACGATAAATGGTATCTACAATATACCACAAATATACTCAAAACCTTTTTAAAAAATATTATTTTGATCGCATCCATCTTCACCCATTAGAGAGGCATCTATTTGTAACTTCAATGATGTCGTCCCATTGATTTGTACATGTGTTTTTTTTACAATATTTATATATGGATTTGAAAATAGGTGAGGCATGAAACACTTACGTGTAGTGGTTATTTTGGTGTTTTAATGATGTATTAGGCGTATTTTCTTGGTACATATGTAGTATCATCCATGAATAGGTACATATGTAGTAAGTTGAAGTGATTAGGTATAGAAAGCTCATTACCATGTGATTAATTAGATATTAATTATTGTAAACTTGAAATTTTGATTTTTTTTCTTTAAACTTCTATATAAAATATTTTTGCAAAAATATAGCGTTTCACAATTTGGGAAGCGTGCTAATGAAAAATAAGAAAGTTGAAGTTTGCAGTTGGAGTATAGAACGGGTCCTAAGAACATTTATATGTAGTCGGGGCAAATGATTTTATTTAATCTAGGAGGCCTCCTTATCATTTAAATATATTAAAATGATATATGACTTCTGTAAGCATTATTTTCGTAAAAGAATAAATCAAATGCCCGCGCATATGCGCGGGTTTTCTTCCTAGTTTTAGAAAATGTTCAGCGAGGGAGAGTGGCCATTTGCATCATGTGTCATTTGCCAAGCAACAAGACGTAGGAATTAATTCAGGTGTTACTCTTGCAGGTGCAGTGGCTCCAGAATCACCGCGTTGGCCATGCTCCGCATTGCCTTCCGTGCGTAGCCGTCTCCCTCCTGGTAGAAGACGCTGGCCACCTTCCCGGTGTGCCAGAAGACCTCCCTGCACGGCCGGGGAATGATGCTGCTGCTGCTGCCGCCGCCTGATCCGAACACCAGCCCATGCAGGTCCCTCCACGACGCCTGGATGGCCCTCCGCACCTCCGCCCTGGCCGCCTCGACGGACGCCGGAGCCGGAGCCGGAGCGCCGCCGCCGCCGCGAGAGGCGGCGCCGCCGGCGGCGAGAGGTTGCAGCAGCACGACGCTGTTGAGCTTCCCGGTGCCCATCTCCTTCTCGTAGGTCATCACGTCGTTCAGGAGGCGGCCCACGGCGCTGGCGAGCCCCAGGAGACGGCCGTACTCCGGGCTCCGCACCGCCTCCTCCGGCAGCTCCTCCCCGAGCAGGTACGCCGACACGGGGACGATGGGGCCCAACGCGAACGACGGCTCCGCCACCGACATGTACTCCCCCATTGTTGCCGGGATGTGCTTGCCCGCCGCCCACTCTGCCTCGGTCAGCATGGCCCTCACCATCACCTGCCACTGCACCCCAAGATATATTAATTGTGACACACAGTAATGGCCTTTGAACAGTAGGAATAAAAAAACGGAGAAATAGGAAAAAGAAAGATTTTAATAGAAATGTAAGTGAAAAATAGAGGATTGTAAAACGCAGGAAAAACACAGGATTGACCGTTTGATTGAACCGCAGGAAAAACGCAGAAATCAGATGAGAGAGATAGGCTCAACAGGAAAGTTTCCAAGAAGTTAGAGCTCTTGCTAAATTTCCTCCAAAATCTCTATAGGATTATCCATTCTATAGGAATTTGATACAATTATTTGTTTCAAATGGCTTCATAGAAAACTTTTCCTATAGAATTGGAATCCTCTAAGGGCCCCTTTGAATCGTAGGGATGAAAAAACAGAGGAATAGGAAAAACACAGAATTCTGACAGGAATACAATTGTAAAATAGAGGATTGTAAAACACAGGAATGGCCGTTTGATTGGACCACAGGAAAAACGCAGGAATCAGATGAGAGATAGACTCAGAGGAAATGTTCCAAGAGGTTAGACCTCTTGCTAACTTTCCTCCAAAATATGCATAGGATTACCCATTCCATAGGAATGTTAAAGGATTGGATAGGATTCAATCCTTTGTTTCAAAGGCCTTCATAGGATTTTTTCCCATAGGATTAAAATCCTCTAAAATTTCTACATTTTTCCTACGAATAAAGGGGCCCTAAAATATATAAGGGAGTTTTCCTTTTAGCCTTAAAATTATTATCGATTGCTATGTTTTCAATGGATAGTAGAAATTTTGAAGGGATAATATATATATATATATATATATATATATATATATATATATATATATATATGTATATATATATATGTATATATATATATATATTATATATATGTGTGTGTGTCACAGTATGCTGAATTTCCCTATCATATAGTATCAGGTTAAAGTTAAACTGAATAAAGTTAATTACGATAGAATGGCTTTGAAATATCTAGGAAAATCAGCTATTACAAAAACCCTCATAGGGACCGGCCTTATAGGGGGCGGTTCATTCAAAACCGGCACCTATGGTTATTTTCCCACCTCCGCACCATAAAAAAATATAGGTGCCGGTTTTTTAATAGAACCGACACCTATAGGGTTTAAAGGTATCGGTTCTATATTATAGGTGCCGGTTTTTTAATAGAACCGACACCTATAATATAAATATAGGTGTCGGTTCTAGAGAAAAACCGACACATATAATATAAGTGTGGGTGGAGATGGCCGGCTGGCGCGGGCGCGGGCGCGGCAGCTGATGCTGGGATGGCGGTGGTGGAGGGCTGGATCTAGCCAGCCCCCTCTCTCCCGGGGGACCTCCCCCCTCCAGCGCGGCGTTGGGTGGAGGCCGCCTACGTGGCGAGGTGCCGGCGAGGTGGTGGTGGCGGCAGTGGAGGGCGGTGGAGGAGGCTGGCGGCAGTGTTTGGTGCCATTTTTTTTAATAGTATAGGTGCTGGTTTTAGAACCGGCACCAATAAAGTTGAGATAAAGGCGCGGACTAAAAGATATCGGCTGGAAAACCGGCACCTATAGCCAGTTCCCAACCGGCATCTATAGAGGTTTTTTACTAGTGATCCATGATTGGATTTAAATTCTACTTCGTACTGCATACTCTCAGAACCGCAGCCACCGGTCCAAGACTATACCTTAAACTGGAAATAATTAACTCATATCACACACGCATCAATCGATCAGGGTATATATATATATAGTCTTACTTGCTCGGCAATATGATCGATGACACAACGCTTCTGCACCAGTGCGGCCTTTGCGCCGATACGCTTGGTCGTGTTGTAAACAGCATTGAACATAATCTCTACGTTGCTGGAGCAGAAGCCAATCTCACCGTGATCGTCCCATCTGCAGCACAAAGCAAGTAATTAATGGCAGGCATATGCATGCACACGAATTATTAATCAATCATCACAAAACAATACTCTGTTTCACAATGTAAGACTTTCTAACACCGCCCACATTCATATAGATACTAATGAATCTAGATTCATATATGCGTCTAGATTCATTAACATCTATATGAATAATGTGGATAATGCTAGAAAGTTTTACATTGTGAAACGGAGAGAGTACAATACAATTAACTGTATAGGTCACACGAATAAGAGGAGACGTGGCTGTTGATCGTACATGCTCCCTCCGTTTTTTAATAGATGACGCCGTTGACTTTTTCTCACATGTTTGAACATTCGTCTTATTCAAAAATTTTATTTAAATGTATAAGATATAAATCACACTTGAAGTACTATGAGTGATAAAACAACTCATAACAAAGTAAATTACAATTACATAAATTTTTTGAATAAAACGAATGGTCAAACATGTGAGAAAAAGTGAACGGCGTCATCTGTTAAAAAACGAAGGTAGCACGTACTTGTCGAATAACGCGACCAAATTCAGCATCTCCTCCATGGACCCTCCGCCGTCGAACAAGTCATCAACCACAGCCGTCAGTATGGCGTTCTGGCTCCAAGCAATGCGGGCATCGGACAACTCGCAGGGGAACAAGGGGACAACAGCAGACAAAAGCGACTGCAGTGGAATCACTCTCGCGAATTTCAGCTCGTCCAGCCTAAATTCTGCCACCCAGCTGCAATAATACATGCGGTTCAAATTTATATGTTGATTTTACTCTATATATTTATGGATAGGTCTCGATCTTCACCTCTCGAGATACCGGAGTTCTTGTTGGTAAACAGACTGGGCGTAGTGGAATTTATTGACAGCCAAAGCTAGAATTTCTTTGTCTGCCCCGGAGCCGCTGGTCCAATGTACGACATACCGGAGTTTAGAATTCAGGTTAATATTAGTAAAGCAAGAATTTGTACCCTTGAGGTAATTGATGTTGAATTCACCAGTATCCAGATTTCAGACGCTGGAAGCCGTTTACGTTGAATCGCTCTATGTTCCCCTTGTGCTCTAGTACTTCCACGGTTGCATAGAAGGGATATTTAAGGGCATACTCAACCTGAAAAAGATGACAGTGATGTTCTGAGAAAGAACGACTCATTTTTAATTTCTGTGATGTTGTTATAGAGTAGTACGCTACTACGGAAATCGTTTTTACATGCATCCAAAAGTGATTTTTGTATGCGGCTAACGCAATCGTATGCACAAATTAAAGGTCTAAAAAATCAGATTTTTCCATGCTGTCAACGCAACTACAAGCGAAAATCTTATTTTTCACACGCAGTCACCTATACTAGCCACATGCAAAAATAATATCAGCAAAAAAATAAAAATAAACCTAAATCGGCCGAACCCTAGCTCGCCGCCGTCGTTGGCCGGCTCCACGCTGCTCGGGTCCACCGTCCTCTACGCTACACCCACCTCCCATTGTCGTTATCACCGCTAGATTCACCCACTCCCCACCCATCGTCGTCGTTATTGCTAGCACCGGATCCGCGTGGGGTGGCGCCGCTGCCGCCGCCCGAGCCCGTCGTCCTTCACACCGGATCTCCCGCCCGCCTCGTCATCGTTGCCGTTGGATCCGCTGCCCCCTCCGCACGCCCCCACCGCTTGCCATCATCGCTGGCGCCAGATCCGCCACCCGCTGTCGTCATCGTAGGCACCGGATCCGTGCGGGGCCGCACTGCTGCCGCCGCCCGCCGTCATTGTAGCCGTCGGATCCGCCGCCCCCACAACACGTCATCACCGCCAGTGGCGGATCCGCGCGAGGGAAGACCCTAGGTGTCAGATCCGCGCGGGGACGGGCCACGGCCAATGGATCCACGCGGGGCAGCGCCGTTCCCGGCTGCCTTCTTGTTGTTGGTAGTTGCGCCACCCGCTCCCGGCCACCTTGTCTGGCGCCGCCTGCTCCCGCTCGGTGAGGAGAGGAAGAGAGAGAGGAGAGGAAGAGAAAGAGGAGGGGATGTGAAAAGAATTAAAGTGTTGAGAGTGAAAAGAAAGAGGAAGGGAGAGAATATCCGTGGAAAAGAGAGGGTATTTTCATATGCCGACCATTTAAAAGGCCTGCATGCGATTTTTTTTTATTTTTGCATTCGGTCCTTTAAAAGGACCGCATGAGAAAGTAAGCTCATTTTTACAAGCGGCTCATCAAGTGGCCCGTCTACGAAAATAGATTTTTGCATGTGACGATGTTAGGGACCTATATGTGAAAACGAAGATCGATTCTTACAGGCGCGACCACTTAATTATGGTATGCCTGCAACCTATAGGGGTTCTTGTACAGAAAAATCATTTTTTACCGTGGTACTTACTTACCTCTGGCATTAATGATTTCGATATCTTGTTGAACGAGAGTTGTTGCTTGAGTAATTTAGCTGACCAGGAACCGATATTCTCTAGTATGAAATCTTCTTCCAAGAAGTGAACTTGTGAACTTTTGTACAACTCCAGCAAGGGCTTAGTGTCATTGAGATATGCATGAATTGAATCATCGAAGCTAGATCGTTCAGCAAATCGAGCCATTCCCTCTGCTCAACGGTTCCAAGTTGGCGATAAAATTTCTAGAAATAATCACAGAAAAAGAAAAGAAAAAAAAAACAAAACAAAGGCATAAGGTTGTTCAAAATTCAGTAGATTAGCACCTGAGCTGACGTCATAACCGTGCATACGAAGGAGGCGAAATGCCTTTGCACACGTTGCCATATCCAACATGATCTCCTCCTCATCTTGCATCCAGCAACTTCGAGCAGATCACAATCATCAAGATAACGGAATAGGTCAGGTACAATGATACAACAGCTTGTGAGTTGCTTGTCTCGTTTTCTTTTTTCTTTTCTGTCGTAAAATCTTTACGAGTTGCAAATACCTGTAGGTCATGTCCAATATGTCGCGTATGTCGCAAGCAAAATCAGAAGAGATCCCCATCTTCTCAAGGGTATCCACCATGCAGAGCTGGGAGTATACCTTGTCTGGATATATCGCTGGCACTGAAAAAAAAAAGAATCTACTGTAAAAAAATCTCACTCATAGCTGGTTGACATATGTTTTTGGCCACTTTTTTTTTTTTGGTTCCGTAGTGAACAGTATGCACCTGGGCCACCCAATTTGGATGTAAGAGAGACCAAATAGTCTAGAGCTCTGTCATTGCAGCTGTGGATCGCTGACGCTGCTGTTGTGGAAGGCGAGTTGAACAATGAACCGTTCTTCCTTTGATATGCCATTACATGATCCCAATCTTGTTCTCTCCCCAACCCTTCTGATACATATGCCATGAAGGCTTTCCTTGCTGAAGCTGTGCCACCAGCATCCCTGATGGCAAAATTCGTGAAGCCCGTGGGAATTATCAGATGAAAAAAAGAGGTGTATGATATATAGAACATGTATTGGAGACTATGCCGATGTCCAAAATGCTACGTATAATGGAGATGTTTGTCTTTGAGCTTTTCCTTGCACTGACCTTTCAAATTCGACCTCCCGGAGGCGAAATATACTATCGATATCCGTTTCCATAACAGGGAATTTCAAACCCATCCCAATGGCAAGGCGAAGCATACCAGAAAATGTAATGTTAAAACCGACAGGAGCGGCACATTGCCCATCAATGGCAACCGAGAAATTTCTTCCAATGAAACTCAGTCCTATCAGATTCATGGGTATTAAGTATGTTCAGGCCTCAAACACAAACATGAAGAGAGCATGGACAATAGTCTCTTTCATACCTCTCCTGATGTGATCTTGACCAACATTCCATATGTTGAGTGCAAGAACACATGCCAATGTAGACAATAGAATATCTTTGTTTACCTCTCCTGATGGCCCTGCAGAATGGCCCCATGATCCGTCCTCCTGTTGGTTCTGAAGTATCCACTCGACGCACTGCGGGAAGCATGGAGACTGACGAGACCCCTGCACTGGCACCATGGCCACCCATGCCGTGTCGTATGAAGATGGTGATAACTCAACTCCCTGCAGCTGCTTCCTCACTATCACCCGCAGTTCATCTATGTCCTGTATTCAGTGGAAATAATGAAATCAACGATGGATATATATGTTATATGTACATAATCATATGTGCAACATTAATATATGTTGGTATACTATACCATGCCTTGCAGGGTTCCTGCATTTCCCACTACTTCCAGGTTATTCCTCACACCACCTGCTGTTGCTGGCCAGAAAAGGGATTAAAGAACAGGAAACACATGAGATACTCACCACAAAGAGACGTGAAAGATGACAGATTTATCATTTCAGCCTAACAACATCGGCCATATATGTACCTCTTGTGACCACTGGACGAGGCACTACTGTGGTGGATCTCTTTGGTCGCGTCCCAAGGGGTGAAACTCCGGGGAATTGTCCGCCGGAGTAGGAGGAACTCAGCAGCATCATTCGCGGGTCGTGTACCACTCAATGTGATATAACTTGAAGCAAAGATTGTGAGGGGAAACTATTTCGATCCCTTGAAAGGATCGTCGAGTCATATATCTGAAACTAATAACGTAAATAGTTTTGTAAAAATTGGCAATATTGATATTATATGGATAAACTACTGTACAAAATTATTTGAGAAGTGCTGCTTCGGTGGAATTTCAGGATGAGAAGATCACTTTCGCGACTGCACATTCTTAAAGGAATACAGGAGGAACATAGGAAGATTTGATCAAATTCATGGTTCACGTAACAAACGGTAACTTCAAATGTACAGTCCTTTGATGTAATAAAACTTAAATAAAATACAAGTTCAGTGATGGACAGTTGGATTTTAAATATCCGTTCTGTACGTTGAAATAATGTTATCTCAAATTCTGGGATTAACCTGTACAGATTCAAGTCACGTGGTCTAAAGGATATCATCGATATCTTTCTAGCCGGGGTGTTATTTTGTTCAACTCGCACTGCTTAAAAAACGATTTGTCTGTACAAGGAGCTCTTTAGATTGCAAACGGACCGTAATTGGTCGCGTCTGCAAAAATCGACTCATCATTTTCACGTGCGGACGTTTAAGAGGACCGCACATAAAAATCGATCTTCACTGGCAGGCCTCTTAATGGTCCGCATACAAAAATAAGCATATTTTTGTGGTGGACCTTTTAAGGGTCCGCACGTGAAAATCAATTTTCACGTGCGGGCCTCTTAAAGGTCCGTCTACAAGTTTATCCTCCCACATCTCTTCCATCTCATCAGTTTCAAATTTTTTTTCCCCACGTTTCTTCCATCCTCCCCCCCCCCACAGCCTTATCTCTTCCTCTCCCACCTCCTCCACCACTTCTTGACGACGTCGGCGATGGCTCGAGAGATGGAGAGGCGTGGCAGCGGGAGCGGCAGCGAGCCGCTAGGTAGCCGGCTGGTGCATGGTGGCTGGCACACGACGGCGGCCCCGTGTTGAAGGCGGCGAGGGTTGACGGGCGACCGGCCCCCGCCCGGATCTGGCGGCGGCGGCCGTCTCACACCAGGATCCGCGCGGATCCCGTGGTGGCGGCAGTCGGTGCGGTGGTGGCTTCAGGCTTGTGGGTGCGGCGGCCGGCGGGCAGGCTCCGTGGCGAGGAGGATGCGGCCGGATCTGCGCGCACGCCTCTGCTGTCGACGATCAGGAGGAAGAGGCGGCGGGCGCGGCGGTGACTTCAGGCGGGCAGGCTCAACGGCAAGGAGGGGGTGGTTGGATCCGTGTGCATGCCCCGCCGACGACGATGAGGAGGAAGAGGCGGTCGGTGCCGCGGTGGCTTCGCGCGGGCGGGGCCCCTCCAGTGACGCACGACCTCGACGTCGACGCATTTGACAGATGGGAGTCATGGGGGCGGTGGATCCGACGACGGCAATGGCAACGACGAGGACGACAGCGACCACGATGGCAGCAGCTAGGGTTAGGGTTTCAGTTTTTTGGATATTTTTTTGGTTTTTAATTTTTGCGTGCGGGTGACATAAGCACCCTCACATGAAAATCAGATTTTGGCGTGCGGGTGCGCCACCCGCACGAAAAAATTGCATTTCAGCAGACCCTTTCGTCCATGTGGTTAGCCCTAGCACACGCGAAAAAGCCTCTTGAACCGCACGGAAAAAACTGTTTTGTACTTGTGTCGGTATATTTATTAATTTGATAATTATAGATAAACAATCAAATCTTTTCCATAAGACAAAAGGTGCACGCATTACCACAGAAAAGGTAATTGGTACCGGTTAGAAACCCCACAAAGTAACCGGCACCACGAAGGCGGTAGTAATGAAAAGACTCAAAGGTGCCGGTTTAGGAACTGACACCTTTAAGGTATATGATTTGTAAAAAAAAAATCCAGCTTGGATCAATTTGAGCGAAGCCAATGCATCAAAGCAACCCAAAAGACATCCAAAAGTCTACCAAAAAGGGCAACTGCACACCAGTCATCACACAATCAACCATTCATGGATCACATGAGTAATATAAAGACTCAAATTAAGGTGCCGGTTTAGGAACGGACACCTTTAAGGTATATGATGTGAAAAAAAAATCCAGCTTGGCTCAATTTGAGCCAAGCCAATGCATTAAATTATCCAAAAATCAACCAAAAAGGACAACTACACATCAGCCATCACACAATCAACCATTCATAGATCACATGATCAAATATTTATGGAGTGCTTCACATCATGAAATCAAATATCTTAAAAACTAATCCAAATCAGAGAATCGGCAAGGTGCCGACCACCGCTGTCCGTAGGATGGAGGAGGAGGCATGCAAGGGAGGAGAGGCAGACAGAGAGGCCACCGGATCTGACGGAACGAGGAGAGCCCGCCGTCGTCACTCCCGCTGTCTCCTGTCCCACCAGATCTGATTAAGGGGAGCTCGCTGCTGTCGCCTGTGGAGCGCTGCCACTGACTCCCCTTCCATCGGATTTAACAGAACATCTAATACATGTCGGTACATATTTATTCATTGTATTCCCATTTAACGATCTATACTCCCTATTGATCATCCCTCTGCTAGAGAGGGTGAGTCAACACGTGTCAACGCCTGTCATCCTCAGCCGCACGACACGTGCTGATCAGCGGAGGGACTTGATGCAGCCACCACTGGAGTCGCCTACTCCCCACTGATCCTTCCTTACTGCCGCGGGGATGCCGAAATCACTAATCTGGGACACGTATTGCGCGCGGAGAGAAGTGGCGGACTGCGCCGTACGGATCCCCCTTTTTTTTTTCTGTTTTCTTCTGCCGCGCGTGTACATTGTCTTTTTTTTTTCGTTTTTTCTATTTTCTTCCGTATTTTTGTTTTTTTCTTTTCGTATCTTTTTCATTTTTTCGGTTTTTATAATACGTTCGTATACAAACTTTATATACGTGTAAAATACAAACTTTATATACACGTATACAAACTTTATATATATGTATACAAACTTTGTACATGTGTATTTTTTTAGATTTTTATACGTATGTATATAAAGTTTGTATACACATATACAAACTTGGTATATACGTCTACGAACTTTGTATACGTGTATACAAACTTTATATACATATGTATAAAATCTAAAAAAAATACACGTATATACGTATGTATATAAAGTTTGTATACACATTTACAAAATTTGTATACACATATTTTTTAGATTTTTTATACGTACACACAAAGTTTATATACATGTATATACATATACTACATACATTAGTACTACTATTAGTTCTAGTGTAGTAGTAGTACTAGTACTAGTATATAGTAGAGACTAAAGGACTGGAGGGTGGTGGTCGCGCGCCTGGCGCGACCAGTCGCCCATTAGGATGCCCCGAGGTTATCACTGATCCACAGGCTGCGATGGTGGATTGATCGGATACAAGAAAGTATAACATATACACAAAGCAAGATGAGTTATAAAAAGAAAAATACTTAGATAAGGGTGGGCGGAGAAAGGAGCGGGAAGAAGGTGGTATTATTGGAGTAAATCGTTTACAATGGGTGTGAGGGAAGGAAATTGTTTCATCTAAGTAAATCCTACTACTCCGTCAAAAAAAGACAAACCCTAATGATGGTTTTTTTTTTTACGGAGAGGTATACTTTAATAATGATGGGTGAAGGTCTCCTTAAAAAAATGATGGGTGAAGGAGGACAGGATGTGGGAGGGACTGGCTGACACACTTCTAATTTAGGGCTTGTTTAGTTCCCTTGCCAAATTTTTTCACTATGTCACATCGAATGTTTTGACACATGCATGGAGTATTAAATATAGAAAAAAAACTAATTACACAGATTGCGCGTAAATTGCAAGACGAATCTTTCGGCATAATTGCTCCATGCTCTGACAATATGGTCCTACAGTAAACATTTGCTAATGATTGATTAATTAGTCTCATAGTTTACAGACGGAATCTGTAATTTATTTTGTTATTAGTCTACATTGAATACTTCAGATGTGTGTCCGTATATCCGATGTGACACGCCAAAACTTTTCATCCCTGGATCTAAACACAACCTTAGTACTTCGCGCACTGCGATCGTACTTGTAACTCTCCTAACAATCCTACTGCCTTTGTTCCAAAATAAATGCAGTTTCATACAGTTCATGTCCAACTTTTAACCGTTCATCTTGTTTGAAATTTTTTTATGATTAAGATTTTTATTGTTATTAGATGATAAAATATGAATAATATTTTATGTGTGACTAATTTCTTTTATATTTTCATAATTTTTTTAAATAAGAGAGACGGTCAAACGTTGAACACGGATGTCCAACATTTAACCATTCATCTTGTTTAAAATTTTTTTATGATTAGGATTTTTATTGTTATTAGATGATAAAATATGAATAATATTTTATTTGTGACTAATTTCTTTTATATTTTTATAAATTTTTTATATAAGAGAGATGGTCAAACATTGAACACGGAAACCCACGGCTGCGCTTATTTTCGAACAGAGGTAGTAAATTTCAAAACTTCGATACCATGCTTCTAATATTTCAAAACGACAAGTTACCGTCAAACATGTCCCCACTGCCATGTCAATCGAGAGAAGACAAACATTGATAGTCCTCCCTCGGTCCCAAAAATATGTGCAGCTATAAGTTTTTCGTATCCAACTTTGATCATACATCTTATTTGAATTTTGTTTCAAAAATTTAAAAATACAAGTGACGCAGAAAGTACTATTCATATTTTATAATCTAATAACAATAAAAATTGAATCATAAAAAACTTCAAATAAGACAAGCGATCAAAGTTAGACATAGAAACTCACGTCTACGCTTATTTTGGAACGAAAATAGTAGATGATATAAATCAACTTAAGACAAACTTTGGCAGATACTAGATACTGGACAAACGGGTGTTTGGTTGCATACCACTCTAAATTTATCCTAGTTTTCCACACCAATTTGGCAAGTGTTCAGTTGCAGTCACAGTTATGCCAAAATTCTCTTCCAATAAATTAGGTCCCATGTATTAATTACTTAAAAAAGTGTGACAGAAATTCTCTTAAGTTTTGTAAGTCTTGATTAAGAATTTGACCACCTCAATTTAGATAAAGTGTGACAATTTTTATGTGGCAAAAACAACTACATCCAGTTCCAATATAACTTTATTTTATACCACCTGACGTAGCAATACAAATTAAAAAATATCAGTGACCAGCTACAGCATGGACCGTAATATTTGTGACCAGCCGATTTTGGTGAAACCACGAAAATACCCAACTTTTCGTCACATCCCTTTCTTCCTCCTATTCTTTCGTTGCTGCCCATATCCTTCTGTATCTAGCGATGAATTCAGAGAAACTACTCCCCGAAAAAAAAAATCAGAGAAACCACGAAAAAAAAACAATTCTTTTCGCATCCCAACCACGAAAAAAAATCTAAATTGACTTTTCAACGCCTTCTTCCTCTCCTCTCTTTGTTCTCATACCTGGGTACCTACCCCTCTCTATCCAACATTTTCTTTTCTTGCTACCTACTCCCTCTATCGAAAAAAGAAAATTCAATTCTTAATATGAATCTGGATAACACTAGCTACGTTCAGATTGTTTGGAGAAAAACAATTCAAATCCTTACTATAAATCTGGGAAAAAAAACTACTATGGTTCATGTTAATTAGTGGAGGGCGTACTCCAAATCTGCCCCTCTCTATCCAGTACAAGCCATTGACAAACAAAACATAGCACCACACTTCTGCTTTTCATCGTCGCTTAGTGTACAAAATGATTAAGTCAAAGGTGCAATATATGGTTGTAGTGAATTAGATCTTATAAGCTGCCCCACGCCTAAATAAATTCTTTCACCGAACAACGCTGGCCTAATGTGTCTAACCGAAATCAGAACACATAGACGGACCAAACCAGACTATGAATGGTCGACTGAGAGTCTGATATATTACTCTTCTTGTCTCAAAATATAAGAGATTTAGTACTATGAGAATATTTTTGGGCGAATAGAGTGCATGGCAGTAACTCCCAATGCACCCCCCAAAGAAAATAACAAAGAAAAATAAATCTCAATGTTGGTTTTTCTTCCATCCGGCTAGCTTTGCTACCTTCCAGAAATATCAACTCAACAGCAAAGCAGGGCCGCATCAAGCAGCTCTGCAGCTGCTGAGACGGCTGCGTCAGCCATGGCGCCAAGGCGACGATCGAGAGCTTGGCTTGCTGCTAGATGGCTACATCTATCTCTGTTTTCCTCTGTTTTTACCCGTGATGTCGTGTATCTATCTATACAAGGGGAAAAGAAGGGAAATCTAGTGGCAAACGTTAATCCGATTACTACCACTTCATCCCAACTTCCATGGCAGCAAACAAATGTTCCATTTCACTCAACTCGATAAACTACTCTTCTATCTTCTACGATAATCCAGGAAAGCTGGTTTAATAAGTTCAGGGGATGGAGATACAACAAAATAGAGAAAGTTTCACTCGCTTGTTTTACTCTGGTTTGGATCGAATTTAGCTTGACACGTGTGCCGTATAAGTTTGGACTGACAGGATATAAATATGATCACAATATATAAATTATAGCTAAATATGTTTTTTGAACCGGTTTATAGGCACCCATAGAAATTGGCTCCTTTAACTATTTGTGTCTATAATAGTTACATGGAGCAAGTGAGAGGCAGCAGAAGCATGCCACACATATAAGATCGTATTTTGTTTCGTTAGGATAAACTAAATTGGATCAACAATTGCTCTACCAGAATATTATTTTTGTGTAATACAGAAGTACAATCGTAAATAAACTTTATTTTGTGTTATAGAAAAACTATATTCTTATCAAGTAATCTTTAGAAAAGCCTTGTCATGCATAACGAGATAATAAACAGCAGAACGGAGTGAGTACTTGCCTTAAGTAGAGGGAGGGCGAGGTGGACGTACCAGATGATGAGAGGCACGGTGAGACTGAGGAGAAGTTTCAAGCAATCAAGCGATGCTTAAAACCATCCTTTATAGGTGATTAGCTCCCTTACAGAACTCATTTGTGCCCTCCCATTCATATAGGTCTTCGTGCTTCATGGTACCTGCTTTCAGACCACTTGCTTATAATAAATACACCACCTGTTTTTTTTAATAGGTCACACTGTTATTATACGTTTGGACGTACGTTCTCATTATTCCTCCTATTCAGAAGGTTTAAATAAATATACAAAAGCTAACGTCATCCGGTATTATCATCCATGCGATATAAATCAGGCTTAAATTATTATTTTAAGGGTAAAACAACTCACAACAAAATAAATACTCCCTCCGTTTCTAAATATTTGACACCGTTGACTTTTTAGCACATGTTTTATCATTCGTCTTTTTCAAAAACTTTTGTGAAATATGTAAAACTATATGTATGCATATAAGTATATTTGCCAATGAATCAAATGATAGAAAAATAATTAATAATTACTTAATTTTTTTTAATAAGACGAACGGTCAAACATATTTTAAAAAGTCAACGGCGTCAAATATTTAGAAATGGAGGGAGTAATAATTACGTAATTATTTTGAATAAGACGAGATATTAAAGGCAAAATTTATTACAAGACACTTGAAATTTATGTAATTTGCTAATAACTACCGGAAGACACTCTAGAAACGATACTTTTGTCTCAATTGAAGATAAAAATTATTTAAAAAACATGAGAATACTAGTGAAGATGGAATATGATATATGCTAGTGATATACTTGGGTGAGGGTTAATTTAGAGTTGCTTAATTTCTAAACTTTTACTCTAACGCCATGTTTAAAGCATATGGTGCTAGAGGCATTCTCGTCGTTTTTTAAAAAAATTTCCTCTTCAATTGAGTTCAAGGTATTCTCCAGCAAACTTTTTAGGAGGTCTTTCAACCATGACACATTTTTTCGATCTCCATAAGCAAATTACACTAGTTTTGGATGTTTTTTAGCAGAATTTGCCATGATTAAATATTTATCTAAAAGTTAACAGTGGCATCTATGCACATAAACTTTTTCTGCACACTCCATGCACAACAACTAATAAATTTAATGAAAAGTTCTAAACAAAATACTGAACACATACTTCCAATAGTGTTACACTTATGTATGAAATATTATCTTTAAATTCATTATACTTTAGCGGTGAAAAAAAAGACAAAATTCTGACAAATTTTACTGTTAAAATTGTTGGATTTTTCTTTTTATTATTACTGCTAAAATATAATAATTTGAATATGAGACTTTGCAGATATATGTAATACTATTAGGATATATGCCTAATTTTTTTTCTAATTTTTTGTAATATTTGCTAGTTGGTGTGTATGAAGTGTAAAAGAGAACCTTGTCTGCATATGATATATTACTCTATTTAAAAAAGCATATATTTAAAAGCTGGAAGTAGTTTAAATGTACAAGTGGAACTGAGCTGCGGTCACCTAATTACATGGTGAGTCAAAAACGCATGGTCAATGTAAAAGTCAAATGAGGAACACATGCATGTTTGGTCAAAGAAATGGAACACGCTGCTAGTAGTTGAGATTAGGAATGCGGAGCTGTCAACGATAGAAACGACACGTCCCAGCTAGTAGCTTTCTTTGGCCGGTGTTGTGCAACTCAAAGTGTTGACCTTTGTTTACGCGCCCAAAAAAAATTTACTACTCCTTTCGTCCCATCTTAAGTACACTCGTGGGTTGTTGTATTCAATGTTTTACCGTTGGTCTTACTTAATTTTTTATTGTGATTAATATTTTTATTGATATTAGATGATAAAACATGAATAGCACCTTATGCGTGACTTATTTATTATTTTTCATAATTATTTTAAATAAGACGGAGGATCAAACGTTGGATATGTAAACCCATAGTTACGTTTAAAATAGAATGGAGGGAGCATAATATTTTTTAGAAACACCACACGCGCACTCACTGTTACAGACGCACACACGTATACACTATCAATATATGTCTATCCAAAAGACTGGACCGACATCAGGGGCAGATTCAGAATTTTAGGGCGATGGTGTCACTACTAACTCATAGTGACTATTATATTCTTTAATTAACCTAAACAAATATAAAAAAATAACAAAAATAATGTTACGAGATAAAATAATAAAAAAATAATGTATCAGATATGATACATCCTAGTTTCATGAATCTAAACAATAATATGTCTAGATTTATAGTATAAGGATATGTAACGTTTAGTACTAGATTAACTTATCGTGGAACTGGGACAGAGGAAGTACAAAGCAGACCTCAAGTACCGAGGTTACTATTACTGGTTTCTATCTAATAATCCTATGAGAAGATACTAGAAAAGATCAGGGGCGGATCCAGTCACATAACATTATTTTTGTTATTTTCTATACTTGTTTTAGATTAGTTGAAGGATGTAATAGTCACTATGAGTTAGTAGTGACACCATCATCGTATCTGCACCTAAAAATGATGAACCAGACATATGTATTCGGAAAGAAGTCAGTCTATGACTCCCTCTGTTATCGTGTTTTGTGTATGAACCTGACAGTTGAGGGAGGTTGTATGAACCTGCTCCTATGCTTTATTGTCACAATGCACCAATTTAATTTAATGCAAAACAGAGTGCGCGTACTCTCATTAAGAAACAGAGAACGCAAATGGTCACGCTTGCTCTGCCTGCCAAATCACTCACCACTCTCGCTCTGAAACTCGCTATCTGAAGGTTTTCACACGGGCTACAGTAACTGAACGAAGATTCAGAGAAAAACAGAGCCAAACAGAGGTTTCTACTGCAAAAGATGAGGGAGAAGATGACGTGGAGAGTGGAATTTCTCTACGTTGTGCGTGCAGAACCGAACAGTGTTTTGAACGGGGGAAATTATTCTGTAATTTTCCTCCTTAACTACTGCATCTTGATTTGGTATTAATTTGGTGTGGCTGATTTGTTTCTTGATTTCAAGGTTTGTGGACTACCAAGCTGTGCGCGTGGTATATTTTTTACCGGAGGTACATTTTCGAAAAATGTTTATAAGTCATTGTGTAGTTGGGTAGCCAGTTGTTGTGTTTCAGTGTTTTCTTTTATACCCGAACATCGAACGCAGATGCATGCAAGTATCCTAGGCCCCCTTTTCACAACTCACTTCACTCGTTTTCACCTGCACGATCTTCAAACTATTAAACGGTGTATTTTTTATAAAAGTTTCTGTAGATAAGTTGCTTTAAAAATCATATTAATTTGTATTCCAAATTTTTTAGACTAATATTTAATTAATCTTACTATTATCATGTGCTTTTTTTTCCGGGAGGCAAGGTTGGGCCAAACACAGCTCAGAACAACTCTAAAATAAACTAATGATCTGTCATATTTAAAACATAGTACATATAAATAAGTCTATATTACGTACCCCTATCAACCTTCGTGTTTATCTAATCGTCGGGTGTTTTTAAGACAAAACAGAATAATATATGTGGAGATTTCTGAAACGAGGTTTGCTATGCATATGCCAAACGGGTATAAAAGAGCATGAAAACAAAACAACTCCCTATCCAACTACGCAGAATTTTCTTTTTAAAATAACTCCGGTCAACAAAACTTTGAAACCAAGAAACAAATGAGCCACTGTAATTAATTACTGATTCTACAGGTGGCCGCTAACCCTGACGCATTCCTGATTCATGATATATTGATATGTTTGCTCAACAGCTAACAGAAGTGGCAGTAAAATTTAATTGAGCAAGTGAATTATCTTGTGCAATATATTGTTTTGAGACAGCAATGTATAAGAAAAGATGGGTGAAGAACATTACAAACTGTATTTCCCGGTGATGAATTAAACTATTTGGTTTTACACACGCAGCACAGAAAAATCCCAAGCTCTATGGCATATTCTGCTTGAACATTTGCATTAGAAGAATGGTGTTCAAGGCAACTAATAATCCTTAAAGTGATTGAACTGTTGTCCGTTCTGCATTTTTCTATGGCAACTGCTCTCAATCAAAAGCAGGGGGTGTGCCTTCCATTTTAAAAATATATAAAAGCAGATCCCAACCCGAAGGTTTTATTCCAAAAGATCAAAGAGAAGACTGAAATATAACAATTCGTTACCCACATACATAGTGAATCATCATGACACCTCGCAACTGAATAGTCCACAAACCTTGAAAGCAAGAAACAAAACCAGCCACACCAAATTAACACCAAATCTCGCAGCTGGAGAGTGGTCATTTTGCTTCCTGTGTGTTCCCCGGTGAGAGTACGCGCACTCGGTTGTTTTACATTAAAACAAGTAGTGACCTTAAAAAAAAGGGAAGAGTGAAAGAAAACTTTTCACTCCCCACGGGCAACAGGAACACCACGCAGCGGTGCATTAGGTTTCTGGACAAGTAAACAATAGAGCATACCAAATTAAGGTTCGGTAAGAAAACTACAGAATAAGCTTACAAATAATTTTGCAAATTTATTATTGTCAGCTGTGTCAATGTAAATGAAGCACATGCCTTGAAACACCGTAACCATAAGACTTGCACGTAGACATTAGTGTTATGTTAACTTTTTTTTTTAGAACAGTGTTATATTAACTGGGCCAGGCAAACTGTAGTAAGCTTTTTACATTGACCTGCTACAATTTAAAGTGCGATCAGTGCATATGGGAAATAGGAGGAGGTCACGATGCCCTGGAGGCTGAAACTGGACCGTACCCCACGAAGACGACGAGCCAGACCAAGATGAAATCAACCGCCGGCGAGGCGAGCTCGCTCAGTTAGCTTCGAGTCGCGGCTCCGCTGTCGCGTCACGCGTTGATAGAGCTGGTGCCGTCGGATCTGAGGTTTGGAGGCGATTGGAGTTGTGGGGAAAAGAAGGGGCGTGGCGTCTGGCTGTCTCGCCGGAGCGAGCTTCCCTCGCCGGCAGCTGCCACTACTTAGAAAAAGCATTTTCGCCCAGGGAGAACGCGTCTTTTCAGGCGGACGGCCGGCAGCCCAACGCCTGTGAAGATCGTTGATGTTCGCAGACGGGTTGGTGGTCCGCCTGGGAAGATCATTTTCCCAGACGGAGTGGAGATAGATGGGCCATCTGCGAAAGTAGAGAATTGCTGACTGCAAAAACAATGAAATGCCGTCTGCGAGGATAGGTAAACAATTTGAAATTTGATACAATAATAATTTGCTCATAAATTATTTTTCAATTATTTAATTATAATTGATGCATAAATAATATTAGTAAAAAACAAGCTTTTGATACTGAGAAATCTACATATATTGCATAAGTGAAAAGTGTCATCAAAATATTACAATATTTTTTACATATTGTCACTTGAAATACGTTATCTAATTACATTATGGCATAGCATTGCTACACTCCCGAAGATTCTTGTATTCATCACTTGTAGCTAGGGCACCCTCTGGGTTGAAGAACTTTCCTTCCACATGACAATACTCACGGTGGATGAAGTGGAAGAGATCGTGCTGGATATTTGTGATGCTTGTATTGTCAAAGCTTGTTCGACGTTCTATTCTTGGCAACTGTATGCATGGAAGAAGCATAATATAATAGTATCATCTATATGTGAAGTTGTCTAGTCCATAGTCTAAAGACTTACATTCTTTGCGTTAACCCTGTACCTTCCATTAACCCTGAGGAATTCGCACGCGTAATACCCGTATAGGACAGTGCCTCTAGGTTGCTTATGACACTTCATGACATATCATAGAAGAAAATAGTTAAATTTTGCAAATAGTGAAACAATTGGAATACATTAAGTGAGTGGAGTATTACCGGCCAATATGTATGTACTAGCAGCTTCTCACTTGTTCGAATCTGTTCTCCACCCATGAACTTGTAGTAGTTGTACGTACTGTATGGATTTTGTATCGTTTCGCATTAAGGAGGAGATTTAATTATAATACATTCATAGTAGACATACAAGTGTCAAAATCACTTACTATTGTAAGATTATTAGAAATTCTTTGTATGACTCGTGACGGTAATCGAGAGGGTCCAAGACTATCACGATTCCGTGCTTCGGGTAGATGATTAAACAGATATAATGATCGCTATATATTAATGTATATATTAATGACAGTGCAGTTAGTCACGGATAAAACAAGACACATATGTAGAAGATAAATTTACCAGACTTAAAATTATAAACGGTTAGGACGACTCTCTTATTTTGAAAGTGCAAGAAGGCTCGTCCAATATACTGTGCAACAGTAATTATTTTCTGCTTGTGCAAGCCCTTCTTATATTCAGCTATCTATTCGGGAGTCTTGTCTTTCAGCTGCTCCGACCTTGGTGATAGCCTCACGGTATGCTGTGTTTGACAGATCCTAGTTGGATGCAGGAATCCGATAGGTTCTTTTTCCTTCTTAGCATCCATGCATTCCTACAAAAGTTTGTTAGTAATAATAACATGGTTTTGTATTGTACAGATTTTTCGTGTAAGTAATGTACACTCATACTCACATGCACTAAGCACCGATATAGTTGACGTCAATCTTTTCCTGACGATATATGGCGTGGAGATCTTCAAAATCTAGCCAGAAGTAACCGTCGCCGGCGAAAGCATCATGCGGTGATCGAATTGTTATATGACTTAGGCCTTTCTTGCTGGCATCCATGTACCATTTATATAACCTTGTCATCTCCCATGGACCGTCATCAAGTGCAAAATCCAGCCATATTGCTTTCCCATGTTGGTATTTTTCCTGGCAGCCATCAATTGGAAAGTATTTTTTTCTGGCTAGTTCAGCGGCCTTCTTGGGGTCATCTTCTCTGAGCTTTAGGAGAGAGAAACACCGGATAGAATGAATAGAGCTTGGGGAGGAAGATGACTATCCAGCGCTATTTTCGCAGGCGGAACACATAACGGGCGCCTGCCAAAACCAATCTTCGCAGGCGGCGACACTCTCCTGAGATTATTGCGGGAGGAGGCCGTATGTGAATATGATTATCGCAGCCGCCGCTTGCGATAACCGATCTTCGCAACTCCTCCCCGGTTATAGTTTTCGCTGGTGGGGTTTTTCTCCATCGCGTATCTCCGCCTGTAAAAATGATTTGCCAACTTTTGTGAAAAAGCTTTGTCTAGTAGTGTGCATCGCGTACCCCTATGCGTGGGGAACAACAATAGGGGCAGGGCCAGAGCCGAATGGACCAAGAGGGTACCCGGCCCAATTTGTATTTCTACTGCTTAAACCCATGTTTTTACCGTATAGGAATCTCCCGTGGCCCAAGTTAGTGTACACCTAGCGAGAAAAAAAAAACCAGGCGCGTGGATTGACCAGACGAGAGGTTGAGGCACGTGCATGGCGGGCGAAGATCGTTTCCCGCGAGCGCCAAAGCGCGTAGTTGTCGCCTCGTCTGTAGCGGTGGTACACCTCGATTCCTCCATCCATGCACGATTTCTGCAATGCGGCCCACACTCGCCCATCTCTCCTTCCTTTCTTTCTTTCTTTCTTTCTTCTTTTCCTTTTCCCGCATCAGCTAGAGCTGGAACCGCTAATGTCATAGGGGCACACGATTCGCCAGCGAGAGAGGAGTTGGTCGAGCAGCGGCTCTGGCAATCCGGCGGCCAGAGTTCAATGCCGTGGGAGCGAAACAAGTGCTGCCATTTGATGCGGTTAGGGACGGTGATCCGAGGCAGGACGTCCCTCTGACGTAGAATTCTCTACATCAGATGATCTCGACCCCTAAATTACCTATACGGTTGAACATCTTCTTTTTAAGGTGGTAATGTACCTAAGTTTTTAACGTACATAAATGTGAGGGCTAGATCTAAAAGGAGCTGAGCTGAAATTTAGTAGATTTTTTTCATAAAAAATGTTTGATAAAAAAGAAACAACTAACACATGGAAAATTGCCTGGTTGCCGTAGTCATGGCCTTGGGGAGAAGGGGACAAGACGGGGGACAAAAAGAAAGTCAGAAGGACATCCTTTATTTAATCTGTGGTTCTCAAAGAAATAAAAACTATTTTATTATATTTGTTGATAACTTTTGCACTACACTGCACCAATATAAGTACTTTATTATAAGTACAAGCATACAAGCCTAATAAATGTCATTTTTCCTTCGACAAACTAATCTTCTATTTAAAATGTGACCATTACTCCTTTCATTCTAATATATAAGTACAATCTAGTATAGATGTAATATATTTTAAGACTATAAAGGACAAAAGGAATACATCACTTCAAGGACATGGCAAATGGGAACAAGGAGGTGACGGACGATGGTACGGGGAAGAAGCTCGAATGGAAGGATCACCATTACTAAACCCTGTGGACAAAACAATAAGAGGAAAAAAGAACAAGATTCATACATGTCGTGGTTTAACAAAAATGATTCACGGAATTTTAAGCATTAAAATAACTCACGCTGTAAGTATGATAATGTAACTTTTAGTCAAAGCACTCAGAAATGATTTTCATTTACACAGAAAGGCTATTGTACTAAGAAAATCGTTTGCAAAACCCCCTTTTTTTTTCACGCACAGTAACTTTAATAAGACCACATGCTGAAATGAATCGTTTGCAGGTGGATCGCTCAACCACCTCTATAAAATGCATTTTAGCCGCTTGTAGATATGGTTTTGTATTAGTGCTCAGTCCACAAATGACCCAACGAAAGACAAAATGACTTCATTGGAAGTTCCATTACTCCCTTCGGTACTGATCACCCGCTTTGAACGATTACACAGCCTTTCCAAATATATCTTTAATTATATTTTTTTATTATAACTAGGAGTAGCCCTCGCATATGCGTGGGCACCTTATTTAGTATGTGTGAAATTTTTTTTATAAATGTCCATTTACATGTAGTTTTCTATCAAAAGTATTCTTTTACTTTATCCTAAACTAAACTTGAAGTTATTTAACATGCTTTGAACGTTGGTCATGATTCTCTTCTAAATATTACCCTTACGACATATAAATTCTAAATTGTGAACTAAAACTACTTTATACCGTGTAGTTTTAAATTTATGAGAAAATTTTATATCGAAACAATAGATATGTTTCCTATGAAAGTCCAATTTTTCTATTCATTTCTGTTAGAAATTTTAGATATATTCATTTTATTAGTCTTGCTAAAATGTTTGAATGTTTCTCTTTAGAATGGGTTTTAAAACCAACAAAAAAATTAAAATTATATAAAACTTGTTCAATTTGCTATTCTTTTCATCTTCATTTTTTTTTGAGAATTCCACTCTACGAAGCATCCTTGAAATGCTTTGATATCTGTAATTCAGGATGAAAAATATAAGTGCGTTGATCTTACAACCGGTATGGGGTAAAGGCATTCATTCTAAATTATCTCTCTCCAATTAGGTAAGAAAATTTAATATAGAGGTCATAGTATTTTTTAGCAAATTACCACTAAACTTGAGTGTCATGTAACAAATACACGTTTCTAGATTGCTCTATGTTAAATGGAAGGAATTCATGATATACCGTAGCAAGTTTTACTTAAAAAAAATGGACATGGTCTTTTAATTCCTATATGGAATTGGCTTATATATTGCTGAGACCACATCATGGTTGTTTCACCGCTAAGATTCCTTGGTGCAACCACGTGCTTAGTACGATTAGATGATGTTCGACTGGCCACGTGACTTCATAGATCATATATATAATTTAGATGCTATGATCATCTTAAGATTATTATTTATCTCCTAAAAATATCATTTATTGATAAAAGCATCAATATAAAATTGTATGGGTAAATTGCTCCTATATACATGTTGTGAGAAGAATTAATTAAGTTGATAGAAAGTCGTTAGATGTCTCACAGGATATAAGTAATGGGTCTAACAGTTTTGCAAAAACTTAAGATGGGATATTTTGTTTTTTAGTGAGCAATTTTAGTATTTTGTTTTAATTAGTGGAGGCCTCAATATGTATGTGGGTCCATAATGTATTTTTTGTTGGCATTTAAATATAGTCAATATGGGTATGGAATTATTGATTTCACTTAAAAGAATAATATGATAGTTCAAACAGATCATAAGGGACATAGGGATAGCTGGCTAGGCCTAATAAGTCGAGGTTCATTTCTGGTCTTCTCTTTGCCCGTAAAGATAATTAATTTTAATTTTAATTGACATAGAGATAGAAAAAAATGGAGAAAAGTAAGAAAAGTAACGCCACACACTGCACGGGAACAGGGATGGAGGGAGGGTTGGGATATTTCTCTTTTCAAAAGAAAAGGTTGATCTAATGCCCTGAAATAATGTGTTGATGTTTCAGTTGGATGTTTTATTTTTTTCATAGATTTATTAGGATTTTCTCTAATTTAAGCAAGACAAATAGCATCCTAACAAAGTGTTTATGTACTTTAATGCCCATAGGGATGGAGAGGAATGATAGATGGTTTGGGGTGTTTTTTTTAAAAAAAGAAATAGATCTAATAACAACGTAAAATAATGTATCCATCAATTTAAGTTGAAACCAATGGTTGGATGTTTATCTAATTTAATAGTGCCACACAATGGTTAGAAAACATTTATATGATGTCTTTTTGTGGGGTTTTTTTCATTAAGATAAATTTTATTTTTAATTGTGGTAGGGATAAGAAAAGGAGAAAGGTACATAGGGAGTGTACAAATCAGTACGTGCATGCTGCATGGAGGTGGGGATGATGGGAGGTTCTGGTTTTCTAAGATAGATCTAGTGATCTAAAATCATGGGTCCACCGATTTAAATGAAAATCGATGGTCAGATTCTCTATATTATTAGAGTACCACGTGGTGATTTAGGAGTATTTATAGGGTGCCACATAATGGCTCAGAGTGTTTGTAGGAATGTCACCAAGATCATTCATATATAAATTAATGTTCCACGTAAAAATGGATCTAATAATTTTTTATAGTAACAAATTATGATGCATAACATTTATAAAAAATAAAAAGAAAGAGAAGAATGCATTGGGGGGGGGGAGGATGTGTGTTAAGTACGTATGATACGTACTTGTGGGTCCAAGAGGAAAGGGTGATCGGATCAGGGGTTTAATCCAATGGTTAGTATTATCGGGTCCACCGTTTTAAATAAAAACAAACGGTTAGATTTTTTTTCCTTTTTTTCAAGTTCTTAGATTTTGTCTAATTTATTAGAGCGCCACGTGGTGGCTTAGTAGTGTTTGCAACGAATCCAACGTGGTGGCTTGAGAGTGCTTGTAGTAAGTTTAATGGACTTTTAGTATATATATATATATATATATATATATATATGTATGTCTATACACACATATATAGCAATAATTTTATTATAGTATTTTATAATACAAATCTCTATATATGTTGTTTTAATACATTCAATAAATATTTTTAGCTATCAATAACTTAAAGTTATAGAAGTTTGACTTAACATCAAGAAATATGGATGCCTACCATTAATGACCACACGTGAACCAAAACCGTTAAAGGAATAGTCGCTTAATTAATTATCCAGCACATTCATGTGCATTGGGAGATAAGAGAGGAGACAAATCAAAAGTGCAGGTACAATGGCAGACTATTAGCCAGCTATAAACACATTTCGCGGAGATAAGAGAGGAGAGAGAAGAGCAGCGGGCTACAGATTTGTAGCTAGCTATAGCACTGACTCTAAGATGCATGTGTGTATGAAAGGTGGAACCAGATATTAATTGTGTAGTATATGTTTATAGATAATTATTTTATGAATTAGCTATTAAATTGCGTGAATGCTTACGGTCGAACGTCCGATCCAGCGAAAAAGATCGGACCGGACGCACCGTATAGCACTTAACCCAAATTATGAGCCAGCATGCATTTCGTTCCTTTTTCAACACCCAACACCTTTCTCTCTTTCATCGGTTAGCTGGTATACTACTCATCCATTTTTTTTATTGTTCATGCATGTAGCTTTTTAACAAGCTTCAAATGTTCTTTTCCAGATAACCATATATTAAAATTGTGATTCGATTACACTGTAATATTTATTGTAGTTAAATCTTTATAACAAGATATGACATGATTATATTCCAATCAAAACCTTTTGTTTTTATCTTTTTGTTGCAATAAATCTTCGTTTATGTTTCAATTATTTTATTTAGATGTTTCAATAAGTATTTCATATTGTTTCACTAGTTTATTTGAAAATATCACATACCATGTTTTAAGAATGTTTTAGTTGGTAATTTGTGATGTTTCAACACTTACAGCATGATGTTTCATACGTGATATAAAAATTACTAGGTATTTGTAAAATATAATATATGTTACATATGATATATTATTTTTATGTTTCACTCATTATGACTCAATGTTCCATGTATGTATTCATTGATGGTGTTGCGGTCCATATATTTTAAATGTTGTATCTTCTGGAACATTTCATTTAATGTGTATAAAACATTTAATAAAGTGATGAAACATTCTTTTATAAGTGGTGAAGCAATATCCCATTTTTTGACAAATATTTTTTTATCAAAATATAATCATGTGGGATCTTGATGGAAAGATTTAATTGCGTCAAATATAGTGGATCATACGTCGGATAAATATTTTAGAAGAAAAAATAGCATAGAGTCAAATAGATTTTTATATTACGTGAACGTGAGGGAAGAGAGAGCAACTATGCTAACAGTTGAAGGCATGGTTGCATCGTGCAGAGAGAGAGAGAGAGCAGAGAGCACTACATGCGGCATACTACAGCGTGGAGATCGAGAGGAAGACCAGTGCATGTGGATCGTCCGATTCGTCGGACGTCGCGTAGTCATCTCTATTAAATTGACTACAGATAATTTGGAGCCAGTAGTTAGTTATAGTATTAAATTTGCTCTTACTCGTGTATGGGTAACCTGGCTTGCCATCCGAAGGTAGGAGGTAGTCTGGCTGAAGCGGGTCATTATACGCTGCGAGGACGCCGGTAGCAAGCGCCGTCGTCGTCAGCAGGATTACGAGTAAAAGGGCACTCTTCATACTGATATGCTATCGGGAAGAAATTAAAACTGTGTCTACTAAGCTTAGATCTTCGTACAAGTACCTAACGATATATGCCAAATGCCCAAATTTATAGTGTAAGTTATTGGGCTCAGTTTTCTTCCACTATTAATAGTCGTTTGCTAGTCTCCCGCTTTGTTGGTAAAAAACCATCTGATTTTACGTATTGGATGTCTGGTTTTACATATTTGCATGTCTATATCGTTCGCTACTGTGCCAAGTTGGTCAAGAAAAGTATAATCCACGTCTGGCCCTGTCGATGAGCAAGACACGGAGAGTTGGTTGACCGGCTAGCTGGTATGGATGAAAACATAGCGGATAGTTTCCGTCTGCTCCAAAGAAAAAAACGAATATGGATACCTCTCAAAGCGGATAATTCTCGGATAGATCACATGCACATATGGTATCGGGGTTTCTGACGGATATGTATAATAATACGAATATTCGATGAACAGTTCTATTCGGATATCCGCTAAAGCCATGAGACGTACCACATTTCTTTATAACTCTACGGTCTTCGATCTATCTTTTTAGATTTTAATAGTAGCCCATCTTTTAACACTAGTACACACTATTAATATTATTTAAAATTTTAAACATTTTTATAAATTATACTATATTTTATATAAAATGAGCTAATTATATTTTCTCATATTTGTTTCTATTCGAAGTTGAGGTGGTTTTCGTGTTCCAAGAAAAAAAAATGTTTTCGTATTCATGTCTGATCATATTTGATCCTTATTCGTATTTTAGATAATTCGTATTTGTTTCCGTATCCGAGCTATTTATATTCGTTTTCGTATTCAGCAAAAAAAAATGTAAATAAATATGGTACGAGCATTATCCGTCCATATCCGCTTTGTTTTTATCCCCACTAGCTGGTCCTCCTTTTGCTAGCATGGTCTGATTATTTATTAATTACAAAATCAATACTTGAAGTACACATTAGTTAATTTATCATGTTCATCGGCAAAATAGTAAATTCACGGTGCCTATATATAATGTCTGTACGAGCATGAGGAGGTAATTTTGGTGGACCATTCACACACATATCACGTACGCGAGGGGAGCACTCTCACTTTTAAGATGATATCAGTCTCATAGAATAGCTAAGGTGGTACTTAAATATTCACATGATGCCTTCTCATGAGGTGAGTTTTTGTGTTTTTTCAAAGAATTAATTTTCATAACGGCCTTACCCCACATATTAAATCTAATTTTTTTAATGGAATGGCTCGAGAGAAAGATTACAGAGAAAAGTTATATCTCCTAACCCTTTCCTGGAGACTGGAGTGGTCTATTCAAATGATTATTCTTGTATCTTTCATTTATTTTCAGTTTCTCTATTTTACAATTACTGCCGTGTTTAGTTTCAAAATAATTCTTCAAACTTTCAACTTTTCTATCACATCAAAACTTTCCTACACAAACAACCTTCTAACTTTTCCGTCACATCGTTCCAATTTTAACCAAATAATTTAGGTGTGAACTAAATACAGCCTACATTCCAAAGAGACTGCAAAATCTGAGCCAGCAGTTTTGCAGCCCCTTCCTCTGTACCTCTTGTCGTCACATATGCTTGGTTGCCATAGGCTGTCGTCTTTACTTCCCTTCAAACTTCCAACTTTTCTATCAGATTAAATATTTGAACACGTATGAAGAATTAAATGTGGACGAAAAAAACCAATTGCACAGTTTGCGTAAATTGCGAGATAAATATTTTGAGCCTAATTACGCGCGTGATTTGATAATGTGATGCTACAGTAAACATTTGCTAATGAAAGATTAATTAGGCTTAGTAGATTTGTCTCGCAGTTTACAGGCAGAATATGTAATTTGTTTTATTATTAGTCTACGTTTAATACTTCAAATGTGTGTCCGTATACGTCAAAATTTTTTTTACCAAAATAACTAAACACGGCCATAGTCATGGCCTTGGGGAGAATGGGACAAGACGAGGGAAAAAAAAAGAAAGTTAGAACTCAGAAGCACAAATACTTTTTTCAATCAGTGGTTCCCAAAGAAGCAAAAACTATTTTATTCTATTTGTTGATAACTTTTGCATTACAATCCACCAAAATAAGTGCTTTATCCTCTCTTACTGTAATGTTAAAACCCACTAACTCCTAAAGCTTAACATGCAAAGATGACACATCATCATCTATTAACAGGATGCCACATCATCATCCACTAACAATCATTAAATTTAAACACCATGCAAACATGTTATATTATCTATAATTTTATAATTTATTAAATTTTAAAGCTTTTAAAATGCAAGCATGTTAAATCATCATCCCACATAATTCACATAATATTTCAATATTTATCTTTATTATTTTTATTACATGCTATGTATCTATATAGTTCATTCTCACTTAGTTAATATTATTTCTCTCTTATCTCATTAAGCCATATCACATCAATTTTTCTTAGTGCTTAAATGATTGATTTGTGTCCAAATTATCTCTCTCATTTTCTTCTCTCATTAATTCATATCATCTCAATTATTTTTAACCTTTAGATGATTAATCTGCGGTCCAAACTATCTTAGTGCTTTTCTTCTTTCGTAAAATCATATCGCCTTACTTTTACATTTGAATCATCGTTCTATTTACTGTTTAAATTTAAATTATCATAAACCACATTAACTTATATAATCTTATGTTGTCTAATTATCTTACACAATTTTTTTACTTATTATCATACTAAACTCCCACAACTACGTGCGGGGTTTCATCTAGCTATATGTACAAGCAGACATGCCTAATAATGCCATTGTACCTTTGACTGAGGGCAGTCCCAACCCATAGTGTCCATAAGCAGTGTCTATGGTGCCATGTCAATAAGACATCACAATAGAAACTACACTCTACAACACATGGTTTCTTAAAGTGGTCCATTAATAAATACATCATCTCTCTTCTGTACCAATCATATTTATTCTTCATATATTATGAAGACACTATTATTTACCAATGCAAAACTTGATAGTGTCTAGTGCATAGGTTCTCGTGTTGAAGCTGTCTCTTGCATGAGACCCAGTTTTTTCCTCTCTTCACTATCTCTCTAAATTAATATAGTGCCACATAAGCTAAAAGTTCTACATGGCAATGTAGTTAATGCTATAGACACTATCCTAGGTGGAGGGTTGGGACTGCCATGACTAATCTTCTTTTCAAAAGGTGATCACTACCTCATTTCAACTTTCAAGACATGGCAAATGGGTGCAAAGAGGTGACGGGCCATTGTATTGGGAACAAGGATGCCTGGAACGATCATCAGAACGGCCCGTCGTGCCTGTGGACAAAATAAGACGAAAAGAAACAAGATTCACACATAGCATGGTTTAACAAAAATGAAACATGGAATTTTAAGCATTAAAATAACTCACGCTGTAGTATAATAATGTAACTTTTAGTGAAGGCTGTCAGAAATGATTTTCATTTACACAGAAAGGCTATTGTACTAAGAAAACCGTTTGCAAAAAGTTGATTTTATTTTTCATACACAGTTACTTTAATAAGACCGCTTGCTGAAATGAATCGACTCAACCACCTATGGTTTTATATTAGTGCCCAGTCCACTAATTCCTACGTTGGTCATGACCCAACCAAAAAAAGAAAATGACATCAGTGGAAGTTCCATTACTCCTTCCTGTTACATACTCCCTCCATTTACTTTTGATAGTCATATTTTTAAATCCGAAAAATTTATTTTTATAGACATATTTCAATTCAACAATCTATCATCACTTTCTCGGATTTAATGCATGACTTTCCATTCTTCCATACTCCCTCGATTCCAAATTGATGTACATATAGTTTTTTTTGAGGTTATTCCTAGATGATCTACATATTTGTGTTCATTTATTAAGTCTATTCGTTATTTGTGCATTGGAGTAAATGGACATTGATGCATGCATCCATACACACAAGTATTTATAACCCACATGTAATATCTTGATTTGCTATTGGCTAGGAAATATTGGGGATGGTGCATGCATCGAGTTTGCTGCTAGAGTAAATATAGTATGAGAGAGTTATTAGTTTTTCTTGTTCTTGGTGTACCTATGAAATATGTAGATCAATTTAGAATGGAGGGAGTATATGATTGGCTACATGGGCATTGAGAAATGTAAATATTAATGAATCGCTTATTTACGAGGAATGACTAGTAGCATGTTTAAATGGATGATAAGTAGAATTACTTATCCTTGGTCTGTGTGCCAAGATGAAATATGACTATTAAAAGTAGATGGAGGGAGTATTTTTTAACCTTTTCGACTATGACACGGCATCCAAAATATATCTTAAACTATATTTTTTCTACTATAATATACACAATAAATAAATACATTTATAGTTTTGTTACAATACTCCTTCAATCTATTTTTGATAGGCATATTTCATCTTGGCACACAGACCAAGGATAAATAATTCTACTTATCATCCATTTAAACATGCTACTAGTAATTCCTCGTAAATAATCAATTCATTAATATTTACATTTCTCAATGTCTCTGTAGCCAATCTTGTGTGGAAGAATGGAGAGTCATACATTAAATCCGAGAAAATCATTAAGATGATAGGTTGTTGGATTGAAATATGCCTATCAAAAATAAATTTTTCAGATTTGGGAATATGACTATCACAAGTAGATAGAGCGAGTACTTCATAAAACAAATCTACATACTGTTCTAGTTCATTTAAACTAAATATTTTTAAACTATCATAGTCAATGTTATAAAAGTTTGACCTCAACTCTATCAAAAAAAAAAGTGAAGAATTATGGATCCACTGTTAATGACCACGCGAACCAAAATCATTCAAGAAATAGTCGCTTAATTAAATAAATATCCCACATATTCATGCGCATTGGGGAGCACAAATCAACTTGCGAAGGTGGGTGGTCAGGCCGGAGCGGGTCATTATACGCTGCGATGACGCCGGTAGCAAGCGCTGTCGTCAGCAGGATTACCAGTAAAAGGGCACTCTACATGCTGATATGCTATCGGCAATATATAACTCTGTCTACTA